AGGGGACGCGAATGAACGACGAAGGTATGTGATTGTTGCAAACATGATAATCATGGGATGCGTGTCATGTAATAACATGACTACATGCCACGCTCTTGATGCGCTCGCGGCCATTTCGCTAGCGTCACATGTACGAAGATTGGTATTACGGGACGTGAATCGATGACGAAGGTATGTGACTGGTGCGAACATAATAATCATGAGAGGCGTGTCATGTAACAACTTGAATACAAGCCACCCCCGTGATGCCCTCGCAGCCGTTTCGCTAGCTTCAAATCACTAAACTTGGTATCACGTGACGTGCATTGATGACAAAGGTAAAGGACATGTCCAAACATGATAATTATGACATGCAAGTCATGTACGGCATAATTTGCCTCCGCCTCGTAACGTGTTGCTGATTTTCAATTGTCATATCAACCTTCCCCATTCGTGCTTCACATATATTCGATTACCACTGTACGTAGAACCTGTAAATTTTAAATGTGAAGCATTTCTTAGCGAGCTTCGGCGACTTTGAGCGTATCTATCTATCTATCTATCTATCTATCTATCTATCTATCTATCTATCTATCTATCTATCTATCTATCTATCTATCTATCTATCTATCTATCTATCTATCTATCTAGCCACCTATGACTTTTAGCTCTCCTGGCCGTTTCGATAATGGTATCGATACGAAACTTGGTATGGCATAGCATGACTGTATGAAGAACATATTTCAGTAGTCATAACATGAAAATCATGAAATGTACGTCATAAATGTCATCATTTACATTTCCTGGTCCTGCAGCTCTTGTGGTGGTTTCATTCACATGGCATGTTGCAAATCTGGTATGGTATGACATGATTTCATGGCAAACACAAGCGACAGACCCTAATATAAAATTCACGATGTGCGTGTCTTGCAACAACTTGACTACATGCCACGCTCATGATGCGCTCGCAGCCGTTTCGCTAGCGCGTCACATATGCGAAGTTTGGTATTACGGTATGTGAATGGATGACGAAGGTGTGCGAATGGTGCAAAATGATAATCATGAGATACGTGACATGTAACAACATGACTGCATGCCACGCTCATCATGCGCTCGCTGCCGTTTCGCTAGGTTCACTTATAACAAATTTGGTATTAAGGGACGTGAGCTGATGACGAAGGTGTGATACTGGTGCAAACATGATAAACATGAGATGCGTGTCATGTAACAAGACTACATGCTACGCTCATGATGTGCTCGTGGCCATTTCGCTAGCTTCACATGTACCAAACTTGGTATTACACGACCCGAACGGACGACAAAGGTAAAAGACACATCCAAACATGATAATGACGACATGCGTATCATGTAACAACATAAATACATGCCACACTCATGATGCGCTCGTGGCCATTTCGCTAGCTTCACATACACCGAATTTCGTATTACGTGACGCCAATGGATGATGATGGTATGTGACTGGGGCAAAAATGATAATTATAAGATGCGTGTCATGTGATAACATGACTACATGCCATAGTCAAGGCGCCAATGCATTTCAACGTGACGCGGTGCGCGTGCTCGCCGGTATTCATTTCGTCGTGTCGGGCCGGTGTTGCCACGCCAGGTGCCGGTGCTGCTACATATTCGCAGGTGCAAGCCATGCGGCGTTGCTTTGACGCATGCGTGTTTCAGCGCGTCCGGCGTCCCTCCATCCCGAAATGAGGGAGACGCAGTGTACTCTAGGTAACGCATCGGCGAAGAGTAATGTTACTCATTAGCATCAGCGCGAAATGCAGCATGTCGCATTTTGCACCGGTTGTCATCGGGCCGCGCCGACGGACGCTGGTCGCGCCTGGCATCAGACTAGAGGGTGCTCGCGTTTTGCTTACGCAGCGTCGCTGTGCCCAGTGTGAGCGCGCGTCAACGCTACATTGGAGTATATTGGGCTCTTTATTCTGCCATGGCGGCCGTTTTGCTTGATCCGCATATACCAACTTTGGTGTTACGTGACGTCAATGGATGACAAATGTATATGACTGCTGCAAACATGATAATCCTGACACGCGTGCCATGTAAGAACATGACAACATACCACGCTTTCGCAGCTGTTTCGCTAGCTCCACATGTACGAAATTTGGTATGACCTGATGTGAATAGATGACTAAGGTAAACGTCACATCCAAACATGATAATCGTGACATGGAAGTCATGTACGGCATCATTTATCTCCACCGCGTAACGTTCTGCTGACTTTCAAGTTTCATATGAACCTTTCTCATTCGTGCTTCTCATATCATCGATTCCCAGGGTACGTGAGATCTGCCATTTTCTTCTTCCCGTTTTTTCTGTGAAATCTGTTAGTATATATTCTTCAGCGTCATACCCGTGACAGAAATGCGTTGGCGGAGCCGTGCTGGAAGCCGGCATAAAACACTTCCGTGTTAAAATCTGGGATTAGCAGCGTTGATCCCACAATTGCAACGAAAAAAAATAAGAATCCCAGTTGGCACAAAATCCAAACGTTTGGTGTGGCAGTCATGCATTCTACTACAGAACGACGCAGGAGGTTGAATCTTGTTTGAAAAAGGCACAATGCAGACATCAATATGGTGTAACATCCATTGTGTTTATCGTACCAGCTATCTCTACTGATAACAAAAAGATAAACATTGCATATGTACTCCTGTTATAGAGGCTGCGTGTGGGGTAAACATAAATTGTGGCTTCAATGTCGGCTTTGCTTTTAGTAGTATCACAAACGTTATATATGACCTCACACGACTCAGCAAGCTATAATGAACCGTTGCTCGCCAACCGAAGACTGCGGTAACAAATGGTATTCACTTCATGATACCGTATTGTGCACTTCAATTCCATAAAATTTACCTCCGTAGCTTAACGTCTGTTCTGACGTTGGGTCTGTTCAAAAATTTTCTGTTAAAGAACTGCGTATTAGACATGTGTAGTGAGCGCACAATTTACACACTACTATACCCCACTAACGAAAACGCGTTGCATACCCTGTAACACCTGTCTCGAATGGAATACCCATTGCGGCAGAGACGCGTAATCGCTGACTGCTTGGCATGAAACGTATTCCCATAGCTCATGGAATCTGTCAAAATTTAACACAAAATTGTTGTATGCTATGGTGCACTAAGACCTGAGTGACGTATTTCCGTCGTGGAAACAACGTCGGCAAAGTAAGCGTAAAAGATCATGCGTGCCATAAAATCACTTGCTTGTTACATGACATCACCAATCTATAATGTCATGGTGTTTAATACAGTGCATGCACATTAAACAGCGGATTCGCGAGCTGAACATTACATAAAGCATTTTGGAATAGGTAGGGAGTGTCTCCTTCCAGATGTAGTTCAATGCAAGCCTCCGTTAACATTAGCAGTGGCTACTTTTAGCAGCCTGGAGGGTGAATTTATGAGTACAATGAATTTTCACTTGCAGTGTAATGATGTTAAGCAGTTTGTGTGCGTATGCATCTCTGTGAGCTCATCCTTGCCGAGAGAGGAAAGGGGGAAAAATAGGCAGCGTTACCTGTGTTTGTGTGCCTCTTTGCCGTCCGAGTTATGTTTTGAGGTGTAAAAGTCAATTAAAGTTTCTTTGAAACCAACTAGCTTGACTCGTAACAAAAAAAAAAAAAACTGTTTGGTGCGAGAAACCTTCGATCTTTACGACCTTCCTGGTCTAATTGATAAAGTTGCGCGGCAAGCTTAAAAGTTGAGCTTCCAACTGTACTCGAGTTGATGGCTTTATTTATTCATTGCGACATTGCAAGCTGCTGCCATCCCTCCAAGCTACTTTAAGCAAAGCTGATAAGGTTGATCGACTAACCTCCCCTAATATACCTTTATTTAAAAAATTTTGATGGGAGACTCAAGCAGTTCTTGCACATCCAGTCCGGCGTTCGAAAAGATTCGTCACACTCACGGCCTCGCAGCAGCTTCGGCAGAGTAGTGGTGAGCGATGCTATTCTTTCACGATGACATAAAACCCTTTTGCTGAAGCAGTAAACGCTTTGACCAGTTCGCTATTTCCTATTCGTATTTGCATTACCAATGATTTGAGTTTAAGGCCAGGCAGAGCAGAATAAAAGCATGACTAATGTTATAGAGCCTCTGTTCAGCGCTGGCCTGCTCTGCAATGCTACAACACAAACAGCCTACAAAAAAATCGTCGCAGCAGTAATATTGTAAAAAATGTCATTACATATTGTAACATTGCCTTGTCATATTCTCGTACTCTCGTAACGATGTATTTGAGTGATTACCGTGTTGAAGGAAAACTTCACGACCACCTTACTTGTTGCTTTCCCCAGCGTGCAACGAACAGTTACCACTGTCAAGCCCCCCGAAATTTCCACTATTGGGCGGGATGCAGCACCCCTTGCCCTTTGCGGCTGGTACGCCTATGGCTATGCTTGTGTTTGTACTTTTTGCATAAGTGAGAAACCCGTAATTTATTGGGTACACCATGCATGGAACGAGGTACTGCACGCGACAATTACAGTTTTTAGAGGTGAACACGTTTTATGTTTACTTCCATAGGGTATTGCGAACATTAAGGCTAAAAAAAGGGTATGAATGTATAAAGAGCACCCATACATATCCTGGATTTTCGAGATGCATAGTTTAATGTCATTCCTTTGTGCGTAAATGCCACTCCATGGAATTAGAAGCTGCATATTCGCAATGTAGTAACGTTCATTTTAACTACGACAAAATATTCTTTTTCAATGCTGCATGCAATGATGCCCTGGTGATGCGCTAACTGCGATGATCGACTGCAGAATGCAAGGTCGTGAGATTCATCTACAACAGTAGCTGCTGCATTTTAGACGGAGGCAGAAATGCTAGAGAACCATGCCGTTTGATTCAAGTGCAATTTAGAGGGACCCTGTTCATCAAAATTTCCAGAGCCCTCACAACCTCGTGCCATATATCACACGTTAACTTCAGCGTGCGAAGCCTAAACAATTCTTATATTGGTATTGTACTTACTCCCAGTAGACTTGGCTGGAAGGCTTCGTCACATTGAGATCCGTACCCGAAGTCTGCAAGAAAAGACAACCAAAAAAAAGGAAGTTCCAATGAACGCGATCTCTAATACTGCGTGCCCCACTGCCAGTAACAATTCAACCTACTCACGCGTGACCGTTCATCGCTTTCCTTTTAAGGATAATGAATTGCCCAGCAAAATGGCAGGATTGAACGCATTAACGTCCACTTTACATTCACAGCAATGTCATCGTGTTGTCCGGAATTCGCTAGTAAATAATTAGCACTTGTACTCTACGTGTGTCCTTGAAGCGATCAAAACATATATGCGAGAACGTGCAGTTCACAATCTTCTTTTCAATTTCTCTTACTTTGAATAAATGACCGAAAATTTTTGCACCCCAAAGAAAACTGTGGCCTCTGCAATCTCTAGACTATGAATTTTCGTATGAGATGCAAGACACATGGTGTCAATGAACTTGAGTTATCCATTTTTTAGCTCAAATTTGTGATTATAGTTTGCTAACAGCTCTTTGGATGAAGCTTTTTAAAGGACCACTAGACCACTCCGAATTCAAGGACAAAAACAAACTTTTTTGTCGACTTTCCAACTCTTTGTGCCCCGCCGCGGTGGTCTAGACGCTAAGGTAGTCGCCTGCTGCTCACAGGTCGTGGGATTGAATCCCGGCTGCGGCGGCTGCATTTCCGATGGAGGTGGAAATGTTGTAGGCCCGTGTTCTCAGATTTGGGTGCACGTTAAAGAACCCCAGGTGGTCGAAAATTTCCGGAGCCCTCCACTACGCCGTCTCTAATAATCATATAGTGGTTTTGGGACGTTCAACTCCACATATCAAATCAATTCCAACTCTTTGTATACAGCGCTGTCACCACCTCCCCCCTTGTTTCTTCATGAGAAAGGTGGCCAATATAAACACTAAGCTGAAGTCTACGGCAAGCGTGAAGCTTACCAGGATTTCGCACTTTTCCACTGCAATCTGTTATCGTCTATTGGACTGTCTAAAACGCATTAAACGAAGTGAAATTAGTTGATCGCTCATTATATTCGTGTGAGCCGAAGCAGAACTGACGTGCGACTGCATGGCAAATCAAGGTAGGAGACAATAGAAAACTAACATTCTTCTTATATGGGCCAATCGAGAACTCATTTCTGCATGGCGTCACGTGAACGGACTTCACGCGTTAAAAATTGTGCCGAAAAGGCAGGAAGCATCAGGAAAGGCAAATATGTGCTCGTTTTTGGTGTTTTTAGACGTTGTTTAAGGGCCATTCAGCTCATTTATATTTAGCAACGAATGAGCACGACTCGGAAGACAGACACAACACAAGGAAACACGAACTCGGTATACCTCTTGAAATCATCGACTCCGCGGTCAATTACTAACTTTCCCAAACATTCGCACTACACTCTGTAATTTACCACAGGCCTTACAGCCTAATGACAGTTATTTCTAGATAGATACCACTGTAGCGACTTATTCCATGAGGCGCCGCATAAACGTCTCGGCTTTCCCAATAACAGGTCTTGCCATGGGAGTGTGCGCATCGTGACGTAGTAGCACCATTCTTCTATCACAGAGGAAAACATTCATAATCAAATAGAGACAAGACTCTCACGTTCTCAGACCGCACAAAGCAGGGTGTGTCGTTGGCCCACTGCGGATCACAGCGCGCCCACGGCACCTGCGACTGGAACGTCGAGGCGGTGTAGTAGATGGTGTAGGCCATGATGACGTTGTAGTACACCGCCACCACCATTGAGACGCACACCATTGCGAAGCCCACACCTGCATGCGAACGTTCAAGGGGCGTTAGCTATGATGCCACGAGGCAACTCAGGCTTTTCATAGCCGCGGTATGAGTTGCTCCAAGGTAAACAAAAAAATCTAGACCACAATTTTGTCTGATCAGTTGCAGCGGTGGCACTGAAGCAGGAAAAACGCTCAACTCATTATGACTACTTCGTTCGAAACTCACTCGCATAAAAACACGCGCACTTGTTAGCGACAAATTCAAAGCAGTGAATTGGGATAAGTGGTACATTGTACTTCACGGTGCGCCATGTAAAGGACAAAGGACTAAATTACAAAGATAACTACTCGCACTCCTCCTTCACCGAGTCCGACATCCTCAGCATACCGCTATAGGTTTCCCTGACTGGTATCATCATAATCATCATCATCGGTCTCACTACGCCTTCTGCAGGACAAAGGTCTCTCCCATGTTCTGCCAATCAACTCGGTCCTGTGCTTTCTGCTGCCACTTTATACCCACAGACTTCCTGGTCTCATCTACCCACCTAACCTTCTGTCTTCCCTTCCCCCGCTTGCCTTCTCTTGGAGACTGGTATAGCTGGTCCTTTTAAGGAAAACGAGTTCTGTATTGAGCGCTGTACAGGCTTCATTATTTCAAATGTTGCTCTGGTTTAGTATGCAATTGCTAGATTCAGCTTCAGCCGTTGAATGGGTGACTGGAGACCTACCTAATAGGTAAATTGGGTAATATGTGTTTTGGGCAAACTTTAGTAGCGATGAGAATTAAGGTGCCATAGTGAGCTTATATCACTACACATGTCTACAAACCGTGCGTAAAAGTATATTTCAGTCCGAAGAATACCAAATGCCTCAAGATGTAACTCTGCACCATTTATTATGATATACCTAACGCACCTACAAAACGGCGAATTTCGTGTTGGTACCTCAAGGAAAAGCAGACGCAGTAGGTAAATAGACTTTAGGCTATGAAGAAATTCAAGCTAAGGCCTAGCTTTATTTTTGAATTTACCAACATTGTGCGCTTTCACACACTAAAGAAAAAAATTACGGCATATTCACGGGGTGAATGATGATGAATGGGCGAAGCTCCGGAGGGATTCATCGGTAGACTGTGAATCTTCCGTGTAATTCGCCCAGTCGACCATCATGTAAAGGCGTGACAAACGCTGTGTGTGTATATACACAAATCAACTTTTATTTGTTCTTAGACGATGGATGGCTTGCGATGTCCCTTGCCTCGCGCGCTCGCACATCGGGATTCTGTCTGCGAGCGCGCGCTGCTGCCGCCTTGCGCTCTCTCCGCTGTGCAGCCTTATCCATCCGGCGACTCCGAGCGCGCGCCAACAGCGAACGGATTTTATTACAACGCTCCCCCTAGCGTACGTCGCCGCACTAAATCGAACGATTGCCTTCAACCAATGACACGCGCCATATGTGACATCATTCCTATTTTATAAGATCTCGCGTCTTTCATCAACTACAAGTACCGCTTTCTAGTTTATAACATCTTGCATCTTTTCATCATCAGCTACAAGTACCACCATCTAGTAAACACTACAAGAACTAAACGAGAGGTGGCTATTTACAGGAGACGGTACCGCCATCTAGTGAACACTGCAAGAACTAAACTAGAGGTGGCTACATACAGGGGACGGTACCGCCATCTAGTGAACACTGCAAGAACTAAACTAGAGGTGGCTACATACAGGCTACAGGGGACGCACAGCCCACGCCCTAAGGAGCTTCGCCCCTAAAATCAGATTAGCTGTTACTTATTTAGGTGATTCCTGACCTGTCACACGTAGAACTCTCCTAAAGTCAACACTCCTATGAAAATTTGCCCGGCTACGGACTCTTCAAACAGAGTGCAAGTATCTCCAAGATAGTGCTAACGTATATTATTTAGAGACCTTGACGTAAGCGGGTATTGAGGACTCATCTAAAAAAGAAAAAAAATGTAAGTGAAGTTTCAGACCAGTCAAGCTCCCTGAAAATTATCGCAACTGTCAATTACGAAAATGATGCAGGGCATTATAAATTACGCAGGATTGCCTGTAGGACACAAGTCGCACACGTGACGTACCTTTGCAGATGGGTGCGCAGGCCCATATTGTGAGTGGACCCTGACCGGCGAATTGTCCGAAGGCGAGTTCGAGGAAATACATGGGCTTGCCGGCCAACGCAAGCATGATGAGGTACGGGATGAGAAAGGCACCTGCGAACAAGAATGTTGAAGAGAATGTCGTGAGCACTGAAGTTCGTTTCTAAACATTATTTCTGGTTGATTGACGCAATTCTAAACGGTACGTTTATATCTGTTATGTATGCTCCCCCCCTCGCCTTATGTAATAGCCCTGTAGGGTCCTCTAAAGAATAAATGATGAGAGTTATTATCATGAAGATGGGGATTTTGATTGTGCTTTTAATGTAACCCTATAGTCATTCGCTACAGTCCCCTCCCCGAAGTTTCGATAGGCGAAATGTTGCAGACCCGTGTGCTCGGATTAGGGTTCAGTTTAAAAAACTCTAGCTGGTCGAACTTTCCGGAGCCCTTGAGTACGATGTTTCTCATAATCATATAATGGTTTTGGGACGTTAAACTTCCCATCTCATATTGCTTCACTTTAATTCAAACAATGAAACTCTTCAGCGAATCTATTTTAGTCAGTCGTTCCCAGAAAAATAACACCAGGCCTGCGTGAAAGGCGCAGCCCAGGCACAGCGAATGCGAGTAGATCGGCCTTTCAGAGCCTCTTTTAACTCCTACACACACACTTTCTGGGTACCCACCACGCCATAAATAGTATAATTATTGCGCAGTAGGTCAGCTATCCCTATGCTATTTTTCGTAATTCTTTGGAGAAGCGTGGTATCATCTACGCACTTGCTAGAGATATTGCGTAATTTTTCAAGGAGTTGCTCAAGATGATTAAAAATTATGCCTGAATTGCGTATGTGCCACAGTTAGTATGTGATGAAGAACAAGGTTTCTAATGATTTGGAGCATTGGACGACCCAATCGTTACGAAATTAGGATTGTCTGACGCCTGGTTGTTCTTTTGATGTTCTAATTGAACATCTTATTACTCATAATAACGTGATCCCTTTCCCGACATGAAGCTTGACTAAGGCTAGTTGATAAGTAATTCACTCGCACCAGCGTGGCTCAGTGGTAGAATGCTTGGTGGCACACAGCGGACCCTAGTTCAAATTCCACTGTGTAATTCATGCGTTTTACTTACTGAGCATATTTTTTCTTGTTTCCTGCGATACTGTCTATCAACGACATCTATGGCGCCATGCGTGACCCACGTTCTGCTCGTAGCAGCTTTCACTGTAAAATTATGATCATTTTGACTTATATGGTGCCTAGCGCGGCCTACGCTGTTTGTTTCATCCTAAGCAATTATCATCGCACTGCTAGTGTTTCACTTACTGAGAGTACGCTCCTCTTTGCATTACTCTCTATTCACAGAAATGAATCACACATTTCGTTCTTTCATAAAATCCATCACCACAACGCTTTCCTTCACTCACTGTGGATTCGCCCGACACGGTACCATTCAGCTCGCCATGATCCCGTGCACAAAGTCAGAGTACCTCGTCACAATACCTTAGCATGTTCAATTTCATTCCGTCCTGACACCTCAGTTGATTGGAATAACCTACCTGCATCATTAGTAAGCATCACCACCTGCACTTGCTTTAAGAATGCACTAACAAACTCGCAAATCAGAATTGTACTAACCGGCGTGAGTGTTATTGGCTGCTTAGTGTGTTCTTTGTGGATTGAGTCCAGTTGTTATTTATTTAGTGTACTACTTGCGCGTAATAATTTACCAATATTTATCATTATATTGATCTTCATTGTAATGTCTTTACATAAACCAGTCTTTATTTGTTGTTTAACTATATATACGCCCCTACCCTCTACAATGTACAAATGTACCCTGACGTTCTCACAAATAAATAAATTAATTAATAAATAAAGGAGTATGTGCCACAGAAATAGCGTATATATAAAGGGACTGCCTACCGTCCTTCACTGCTTTTCTGTTTAGTTTCGAAATAAGCAACGTGCCATCTGAGGTGCCTAATCTTGCAGGGATTTCTCTGAAAAGTGCGTAGATATTTTTAAAACAGAATTTTGATATCCGAGTTCGGTCACCTTTCATAGGCGGAATGAATGCCCACAACACTGGTCGGTGGAGGCGCTGAAAATTGTACTGCCAATAAAGACGAAAACTGGAACTGCATGCGATCTTTGCAGGCTTTATCAAGTTTTGTTTATAATTAAACAATACATTAGTGGTCATTTACGGCACGCACACACTTTTTCTTGTTATTAGCTGCGGCGAAGGCCGTGCTCGCGTTTCTCCGCCGTCCGCAAGCAAGTGAATGAACACACCGCTGGCAGCGCCACCAGGCGCTTATTTAAACGCGTGAAGAAAAAAAAAGCAAGAAATTAGTCTCTGGTGGAGCCTCAAGCCGCCTCAAGTGCGTAATATACAATTACAGGTTATACATGTTTGTTTTAAGCAAAATAAGTCTTCCTGTTAGGATTTCTTGTCCTACCAGTAGATTGCACCACATAGATTTTGGGAGATGCTAGCAGTCGGCTTTCGTCGACTTTCAACTTCAAGTTAAAATATAATTTTTTTTATGGGAGAAAAGCACGCTCGTTGTCGCCGAATTGATGAACCATCTCCTCATTAGCGCTACAATTAGAAAAAAAATTATCCGAATGGTACCAGTCTGCTGAACTATTCACAACTGGTCTACTAAAAATGAAGAAGGCAACAAATAGCTGCACAGAGGTGGTGGTGAGCGAAAAACCCTGAATATTTACAAGTAGCTCACGCTACAAAAAGAAAAAAAAACAACAGCTGCTGCGTGAATACCCCGAAGAGAAGAAAGCCGTTCTCTTTGTGGTATTTGATGAATTACGACGAAATGCCTGTAGATTTATGAGAGGTGCGAACACTTGACCCTATTGCGTGTCGAGATACGAGTCGTGCGTGTGCTTTGACTCACATCTGTCTGTGCTTGGATGCGACATTTTAGCTAACGACTACAAAAAACCTAGAAGCAACCTAAACGCTGTGTCACCTATAGCTAAAGCCTGGAAGTGAACATATAGAAGCAACCAGGTGAGTCTTGAGAATCGTCAAATTTAACTGTTTCAACCTTTGTGCGGCTTACTGTGAGGTTCGTTTTTTTTCTCTCTATCATGGAGTTGGCTTTCTCTCAAATTCGACCTCCACGGCCATTTGACAGTTTTATAGTCGCTATTCCATTTTCTTTCACTTACTATTTTTATGACGAACTCTAATGGTTTATCGATTGAACTCTTTCATCTGGACCCGTGCAAATGCTATCACTGTTTAAACTTTCCAACAGCTAAGGTGTGTCACGTAGATAAACAAACAGCCTTCGGCTATTTCGAATAAAATGGGTAGAAACTTGGCAGGAGGCTTTGTCTAGCAATTTTACCAAGATGTTTTTTATGTACATTGCTCATGCATCACGAGAAAGCTAACAATGTAAGGTAAAAAAACAGAAATGATTAAAGAGGTAATAATCTGAACACACATCTGCCTTTTCCTACTATCACAGCCAGGAATCGCAAACATTGACGCAGCTCGGAAATCTCCCTCCAGATGTCACTATATACAGAAGCTAAAAGAGTGCGTGCGCTCCGCCAGCACCAGTTGCGAGACAGACTCGTAATGCAATCAAGCATCCTCTTCATCTTGATCCCCTACACCCGCTTCTGAGCACTGTAATTCGAAAACTATGTCAGCACTACAAGCTTTTTCGACACACCCTGTCATAATGCAGGAGGTTATGGGGGTTTTGGAAACAAGATTTCAGGCCGGCAAAATGACCCGAAAAGTCGCATGGCTTTGGCTACTCATTAAAGTTAGACTTGAATTGAAGCAGTGTTTCTCAGGAAATGTACAATCAAAAGCAGGTTTCGAAACCTCTCTCCTTATCATTGTAAGAGAACTTGAAAGAGGCTAAATTTGGACTAATCTGAGGCAGTTTTTATAGGCTCTGTCGTAATGCCTTCAACTTACTTGGGAAGAGGGGCGCATTTCGAAACTTTGTTAGAATTACGCCTAGAATGTGATATCACTTTCGTAATATCTGAAACGGAAAGTTATTTTCATTATCATATTTTGTTCATTAGGTATGCTCTTCTTTTTCGCTCTTCCCTCACAGTTCTCACGTACTTATACCCCGGTGATGACCTGAACAGGTAAACTTGAAAGTTTAAAAGCCAAATAGTTGATTACTAGTCATATTTTTAGTGCTAGACTGCAAGTTATGAGGCATGCGATGCATCGACATAGCTTCTTTTTAAAACTAATAATAGAGTTTCTTTATGCAAAATAGGGGAGCCATAAATCAATATAAGCCAAAAAGCAACGAAAAGTAGGCCCATTATTACACTAAATAATTAAATAGGGTCCTTAAAGCTGTATCGGTGCAATTACACGAGTTTAAAAAAGTTCGCGCGTAAAGTAGCCTTCACTGACACTTGCCTTGTGTCACCACTAAAAGACAGCGAATGGGCCGTGCGCAGCAGCAGCAGCAGCAACAACAACAAATAAACAAATGCAGCATCAACAACAACAAAAGTCGACAAGGAGAGATGGCTCATGTCACTGCACGCGCCATGATAATGGCTCAAGGTTACGGAGAGGACCGGGCGAGTGCCTAAAGTGGTCTGGCTGTTATGCTAATGCCTAGCCAAATTCTTCGCATGCCGCCGAGACATTCCTGCATGCAGACTCGCGTGCAGTGCGCTCTTTGCGTTGTCGCTACACTGTCGCGGGATCTTGTTCTAATCACAGTTAACACCTGCCATGCCCTGCGCTTGTTGCGAAATAAGCTAATCGGTCGACAGCGCTCTGTTTAACCATCGCTATCTGGGCTCAGCTTCTCAGAAAGGTTTCATTACCTTAACAAGAGATACGGGTCACACCCTTTTGGAAATAGAGAAGGCTGAATAATAAGCGCAAAATTTTAGTATGGTTACATTATATTGTCCACGAGCCTCTTCGTGACCTTTGATGGGTACTGCAGGCGGAACGCTTTCATTACCAATATTCAATTACCGCTGTTTTGAATCAGCCGATTCTGTTTTATGCGTAGAAGTTTTCTGGTGTAATGTCGTCGTTGAAGTTTTTAGTATTCATCAAGCCATGC